TCACATGACCCCGGGACACGGCGACCGTCGTAGGTATGAGTCAGTTGCCAAGCGTCTGACTTTTGATCATGTGACCATAGAGGTGTTGCAATGGTCGTAAGTGTGAAAAATGGTCCTAAGTCACTTTTTTCCATTGTGACTTTGAATGGTCACTAAAGGAACTGTTGTAAATCGAGCACTATGTGTACATTATATGTATGTATAGATGGAATTTCCAACCAAGAAGCCAGGGCAAAGAAATTCCTGGGGCCAGGACAAACAAACAAAAGTTGAGTTTCTCTTATTCAAACTGTATTTCAGCAATTAATTAAACACAATAGGGCTACTCCCTATAATATGTTTCATCGTGTTTCTCTTCTGCCTCATCTTAAATTATGAATCGGTGGCAACTTTTAACAGGGCTCTGGAAATCTCCTTGCAGTCTTTGGCCTTCGGAGCATTTAATTTAAATTAATTCTCAACCTCAGAACAACAAAGAAATCCTTCTGGTCTTAAATTAACCAAATTAGGTAGTTAACTGAATACTCTAACATTAATCCCTATGGATTAAAGAGCTGACTTCTTTGGTCACAGTTAAATTGCCCATTTGTGGTTATTTGTAAGCGGGCTCTGGAAGGCTCCAGGAATGCTTGCAAGGGTCTCCATGTATGCAATACAGGCAGTCCTTGACTTATGATGGGTATTTGGATGGGAAATCTGGTCGCTAAGTCATCACCGTCATATGTCGAGGCGCGCACAGGAACAGAAATGATTTGACAGCTTCTTGTGTGGCGGTTCTTAAACAAAATGTGGCAGTTGTATGTGTGAATCTATTAATTTGAGTGGGTGGATTTTTTGCCAGAAAGTGACGACCCACGACTATGGATTGCTGCAACCTGTTGTAAAGATCACATGACCATGGGGGGGGGGCAGTGTGACCATTTGTGATGGCTAGGGAAGGGGGTGTTTCACAGATGTAAACATAAATAGTCCTTAAGCAAGTCAAGGAATATCAGTTCACGCAAAAACCAAACGGAGCTTTGATCACACCCTCTTGGCTGCTGTTTTGACTTGGGGACACTCCTGGAAGTCTGTCCATCCTTAGGATGTCGAGTTGTTCACCCGATTTTAGAAACATGCCTACACCGGCGCCACTTTGATCTAAGGCATCTAGCTAGAAAACAGGAGCCTGTAGTTCTAGTCCTGCCTTAGGCATGCAAGCCAGCTGGGTGACTCTGGATCAGTCTAATTCTAATCTCTTTCTATTCTAACCTCTTCGCTCACCTTCTTGAAGACCAGTCAGTTCGCATCTCGTGGCAGAGTTTAAAGTTGCTAGTTAAGTTCCTGAATAACCATCCCTGTAGCTTCATTTGTAACATCAGTGTAGGATGTCTGGACTGTTATTATAAGTTCATATATTACCCCTAGCTGTAAAAATAAAGAATTTGCAAAGTCCCAGGAAGTATATAAGGATTAGAAAACTGAGATGTTGATAAGCTGTTGGGGAATTTAGAACCATCTTCGTTTTATACAGTTATACAATATGATACCTCTTATACTATAGAGAACCAGTTTGGTCTAGAGCAGTGGTTCTCAATCTTTTTAATGCTGCGACCCCCAACCGGTCATAAGTTGAGGACTACTCAACCAGTCGTAAGTCAAGGACTGCTCAACTGGTGCAGCACCGTTTGCAGAATGGGACTTTTGGCGGGCTCAGCAGGGCAGAGACAGCCTGGACAATTCCTATTGGCTTTTGAAAGCCAATAGAATTAGACTCTATTCAAGAGGAAAAGGGGGGAAAAAATGGCGGACTGCGTTGTTTGGTGACCCCCGTGAAATGGTCATTCGACCCCAAATGGGGTCCCGACCCACAGGTTGAGAACCACTGCTCAAGAGGTTAAGGCAGTAGGCTAGAAAGTCGGAGAATGTGAGTTCTAATCCAGCTGTAGCCATGAAAGCTGGCTGAGTGACTTTGGGCCAATCACCAGGTGACCGTGAGTTCTAGTCCTGCCTTAGCAATGAAAGTTGACTGGGTGACTTTGGGCCAATCACTAAGTGACCATGAGTTCTAGTCCTGCCTTAGCGATGAAAGTTGACTGGGTGACTTTGGGCCAATCCCCAGGAGACGGTGAGTTCTAGTCCAATCTTAGGCATGAAAGCCAGCTGGCTAAGCTTGGGCCAATCGCTCTCTCAGCCTCACCCACTTCACAGTGGAGTTAGTAATTAGATTTACCATTGTACAGACTCATTAACTTCTGCAACTGGAAGTACTCCAAAAATGCAGCCATTTTTTTTGAGGGGGGGAAGGACTTCAAAGAACGTGCAGAATGCACAACTAGGAATGCCCTATTTTAGGGTGGTAAAAGAGCCTCCCCCCCCCGCAGACCTTGAGTTGGAATGGCAGTGTGATTAGGAAAAGGAAGTGGGTGAAGTTGGGCTTTAAAAAAAAAAATCAAATAACTTAGTTATGTTTAACTTCAATTCCAAACAGCCTTAAGACTGAATTACTCATTGAAGTAATAGTTTTCCTCCCCTGGTGACAATCCTTACAGCAGCTGTGTTGGCACCTGCCTCAGCTTGTGCAGTTCTGTCTTTAAAGAAAAGATGAGAGGCTTCCACATACAGACTAGTTAGTCCTGGCCCTTAAGAGAGAGGCGGGAAAAAGAGAAGAAAAAACTCACAACTTCTAAAAAATAAAATGCCACAAGAGACTGCAAGATTCCAGGGTCTCCTAAATTCTTCATTAGGCTTATGGCGCAGTGTTTTTCAACCTGGGCAACGGTAAGATGTGTGGACTTCAATTCCCAGAATCCCCCAGTCAGTATGCTGGCTGGGGAATTCTGGAAGATGACGCCTACACATCTTAAAAATTGCCAAAATTGAGAAACACTGGGCTAATACCTAACCCAGCAAGGAAGCAGATGAAGGAAGTGAAACTTTCAGACCTCTGAAGATTACATTTTAGCCTGAAGATGACAGGGTGAGTAGATGCAACAGGATGATGGAATACCACAATACCACTATAATATTTCATCTTTGGCTCAAAGGCCCATTTAACACAACATCATATATCAGACGTTGGCCAAACTCTAGTAGAGTACTAAACAGGTTTGATGAAGTTTGCAGAGACTTCTTCAAAACCCTATACCAAAACATAGGGAAACAATGGAAAATCCCCATTCTCTGGTGTGGGATGCCCTCGCACTGTTTGATTTTGACTTTCACACACACATACACACACTATAAAAATGTTTAAAGAGAGATTTCAATCCCTGGAAGGCATCAAGGCATCCTAAACAGCGGAAGGACAGTTTATTTAAAACAGGGATACCCTCAAGGTAAATCCGACTGGTAGAATAAGGTAGTGATAATTATTGGTCCTTGTAGGAAAAGGTGAGTGAAGGGGCTCTTCTTAAAATGGCAACAAAAATCTGGCTGAAAATGTTGGGATGAAGAAGCGAGCTTGGGGCGGCTGGACTTCAGCTTCTCTGCTCACCCTCTGAAGCCAGCTTGGCTTCATCAACCAGGGTTGGGCCAACGAAATTCTCTCTGGTGCTGCAAGCGCTGTCCCTGCGCTCGAATAAACCGTGTTTCGCTTCTGCCGGGGAGTTGCATGCATGGACTTTTTTTTTTTCCTGGAGTCCGACCGAGATCTGTCTAGCCCAAGTGAGGAGAGCCTCCAGTCCAGGCGTGTTGCGAAGAACCTTTGGGTTGTATCAGGGTTGTATCCATCACTGCAGGTTTTCAAGAAGAAACTGGACAGCCATTTGCCCCATGTGGTATAGGATCTCCTGCTTGAGTAGAGGAGTTGGGCCAGAGGACCTCCAAGGTCCCTTCTAATCCTATGATTTGATGGAATGGAATAGAATAGAATAGAATAGAATAGAATAGAATAGAATAGAATAGAATAGAATAGAATAGAATAGAATATAGAATAATAGAATAGAACAGAATAAGAATAGAATAGAATAATGGAATGAAGAATAGAATAGAATAGAATAGAATAGAATAGAATAGAATAGAATAGAATAGAATAGAATAGAATAATGGAATGAAGAATAGAATAATGGAATGAAAAATAGAATAGAATAGAATAGAATAGAATAGAATAGAATAGAATAGAATAATGGAATGAAGAATAGAATAGAATAGAATAGAATAGAATAGAATAGAATAGAATAGAATAGAATAGAATAGGAGAAAGAATAGAATAGAATAGAATAGAATAGAATAGAATAGAATAGAATAGAATAATGGAATGAAGAATAGAATATAATGGAATGGAATAGAATAGAATAGAATAGAATAGAATAATGGAATGAAGAATAGAATAATGGAATGAAAAATAGAATAGAATAGAATAGAATAGAATAGAATAATGGAATATAGAATAGAATAGAATAGAATAGAATAGAATAGGAGAAAGAATAGAATAGAATAGAATAATGGAATGAAGAATAGAATATAATGGAATGGAATAGAATAGAATAGAATAGAATAGAATAGAATAGAATAGAATAGAATAGAATAGAATAGAATAGAATAATGGAATGAAGAATAGAATAATGGAATGAAAAATAGAATAGAATAGAATAGAATAATGGAATGAAGAATAGAATAGAATAGAATAGAATAGAATAGAATGGAATAGGAGAAAGAATAGAATAGAATAATGGAATGAAGAATAGAATAGAATGGAATAGGAGAAAGAATAGAATAGAATAGAATAGAATAGAATAGAATAGAATAGAATAGAATAGAATAGAATAGAATAGAATAGACAGGGGTGTCCAACTTGGGCATCTTGAAGCCCTGTGGACTTCAACTCCAGAATTCCCACAGCCAGCCACGCCCCAGTCCAGAAGTCTGAAAAGTTTGCAAGGTTGGACATCCCCCCCCACCTCTCCCCCCCCCATAAGAGAGAGGTTGAGCTACCGCCCCTCTGCTTGGAGGTCGCCCGCAGCGTCGCAGCCCCGCCCGGCCGCGGCTTTCCCGAGTCTCCGGCGGCGGCGGCGGCAGGTGAGCGCTGGGCCCCGGCGGGCGTGGCCCCGGCGGGGAGGGCGGGCATCCCGGCTGCCTAACCTCCCGCCCGGCGCAGCCGCCCGGCCAGTGCCAGCCCCGCGCGAGTCCGGTTGCCAGCCCCGCGCGAGTCCCCAGCGCAGCGCCCGCAGCATGTTCGGCGTCCAGCAGCAGGTCCAGCCGACGTCGCTGCCTCCGCCGCCGCCCTGGAGCTCCCGCTCGCAGCCGGCCGCCCCCTCTCCGCCCCGCGGCTACTGCCCGGTGCCCCCGCCGCCGGCGCCCTCGCGGCCCTGGTTCGAGTCCTGCCCGGCGCCGCCGCCCTCGCTGCCCGCCACGCTGCCCCGCGCCCGCCAGAGCCGGCCCGCCCCGCTGCCCCTGCAGGTCCAGCCGTGCCCGGAGCCCTTCCCGCCGCAGGAGAGCTGCAACGGGGGCGGCAGCGTGGTCTACGAGCGCGTCCGCACCTACAGCAGCCCCGGCGGGACGCGGGTGCAACTGCTGGACGCGCCCAACGGTTGCTCCCCCCGGGCGCTCTCGCCCTTCGAGGCCAGTCCGGGGTACCAGCACGTGATCTGGAGCAGCGACCCCCCCTTGCAGGTAACGGCATCTCTCTCCCCCCACACTCCGCATCATCCCCATCCCGCCGATTCGGTTCCTCCTTGCGCTGACCTGAAGGAGAGCGCCCTTTTCACACGTTACGCGGAGAGACCGACCCGTGTCAAGGGTAGATAGCCCTCTCCCCCCCCCGGGAAGAAGGGGTGGGTCCTAGCTCTCTATCTAGGGCGCCTCGATTGGGCAGGGATGTGGAGGGCGCTGGAGTGAGCATTAATCTCTTTCTCTCTCAAAGTTCAGGGGTGGTAAGGGTCGTAAGGGTGGGGAGCGCTGAGCATCTTCTTTCAAAGCAGAAAGGCCCTTGCCACCTTCCCGCCGAATTTTGGGACTGGATCCAGCTTGCAAATATTCCCAAGCAGTATTCAATTCAGTTATGGTTTTGTTTCCATATCACCTTTAGCAAACACAACTAACTGGGTGTGCTGAGAAAGCATTCCGATTACAGAATCATTTGGGGCCAGGAACAATGAGAAATGGCCTTTATCCACGTAACTCTTTTGCAAGCTCTCTTAACAGCCCTGTTTGGCTAACACTGTGTCCTTAGTTCCTTAAAAGTTGTCGTCTCTTCCTTTCCAAAGTCCACATTCTTCCCGTATTTGATGGCATTTCTCTGTGTATACATCTGTAACGTATGCTCCCTTGTCCTGAATATTGATTTAATTTTCTTTATTTTCTTTTTATTTATTGCCCTGATATTATAATCTCAACTGAGTCTAGTCTAGTCTAGTCTAGTCTAGTCTAGCCGAATAGAATAGAATAGAATAGAATACAATACAATAGAATAGGAATAGAAAATATGGAATGGAATGGAATGGAATAGACTAGACTAGACTAGACTACACTAGAGTAGAATAGAATAGAATAGAATAGAATTGGAATGGACTTTGGAGGTCTTCTAGTCCAACCACCTGCTCAGGCAGGAAACCCTATACCATGGCTGTCCAGTATCTTCTTAAAAACTTTCAGTGTTGGAGCATTCACAACTTCTGGAGGCAGATTGTTCCACTGATGAGTTGATCCAACTGTCAGGAAATAGCTGCCTAGTTCTAGGTTTCTTCTCTCCTTGATTAGTTTCCATCCGTTGCTTCTTGTTCTGCCTTGGAGAATAGTTTAACTCCCTCTTCTTTGTGGCCACCCCTGAGATACTGACTCTTATATTCTAATCTCAATTGACTCATTGCACACACAACACAAATTGGGTATAGAAATCATGCACCAAGTTGCCTTCATTCTGACTAACATTAATTAGATGAAACAGAAAGATACAATGTTATTAGGGCTAGAAGTTTACAAAACAAACAAATACTGTATACTGAAAAATACACCTTTCTAAATGTTTTGGGTTTTTTTCACAGAATGTGGTCTGATTTTGTTGATGATGGATTTGTGTTGTTTTTGAAGAGGAGATACAATGTTGTGAAAGGAAGCAGTGTGTGTGTGTGAGTGAAAGAGATTGTAATTGTTTTACAATTCTTAGTCATCTTTTCATAGAATTTTCTCCTCCAACATCAGTTTGCAGTTCCAAATTAACAGAAGAAAATCATGAACTGGTTTTATGCCAATTTAAAAACCAGCTAGTCAAAACGAAGTACATCAAGAATTGGAATAATGGAAATAGCAAATTGTAGAGAACTGCTTTTATATTAGCTTAAATGCATGCTTGGGTTGAAAAGAGTCTTCTTAGCCGTGGGCATATAGCTAATTTCAAAAACTATGGCTGAACTGATAGAGCTGGTATCTCCAAACTTGGCAACTTTTAAGACTTGTGGACTTCAACTCCCAGAATTCCCATAGCTGGCTGGGAAATTCTGGGAGTTGAAGTCTGTAAATCTTAAAGTTGCCAAGTTTGAGATAGAGAGTAGATGTTGGGACTTGTCTTCTTCTTGCTTGCTACAGTTCTGCTTTTCAATGATATGGGAAATTATACCTTTTGGAGCATTGGGTTATTAGGTTTATATCCTGCATTTCGTTTCAGAGGCTCAGGAGATATACAGAGTATTCTCTCCTGTTTTCCCCCAGAATAACCCTGTGAGGTAGGCTGGTTGAAAGAAATACATGATCAATGGGAAAGCTGGGCTATTACAGTATAGATGAATATGGAACCAGACATGCTGAAGTGCCACTGATAGAGCTGGGAGTAAAAAAAAACCAAACATGGCATGGCAATCCCAGCTATCCAACTGAAGCATGTAAAAAAATTGATGGCATGGTTGTGGCTACTGTGATTGACCATAGCCCAAGTAGGGCGAATGTGGGTTTGCAAATACAATGTTTCATCTTTCTGGCTCTGCTTCTATGACTACCCTATTGTACAGAATTGCAGACTGAATAAATACAGGAGTTCAACTGTTGAGTGGAATAAAATGAAAGCAAAACTATGTTTTCCTAAGATGGGAGGAGAAACCGTGGCAGCGATAGTATGAGCACAGAATAGTAACAAACAACTGGCAGAAGCACCCGATTCTTATAAGCAATGAAAAAAGATCTCAAATAGTTGTTGAAGAAATTTCAAACAGTTAGTAAAAGAAGAATTTCCATTTTCCTTTGTTTTTTAGAGGGTGGATTATTATTGTTGACATTCTTATGTAATTCTGGGATCATTTGAGGCAGCTGATTCAATTAACAGCCACCTTGCTAGTAATGGAAATTCTGGACCCAGTTCTTGTCGTAAGTCAAGGACTTACCTATATACTACCTATATATTAATGGTGAGAAATGGGTTTGTAACCTACAAGTTACTTGCCAGAGGCACTGGACAAACCTTTGACACTTAGTTCTAGAAAGGATATATTTATCTCTATCTACCAATCCGTCCGTCCATCCATCATTCATCTGTCCCTCCATCCATCCCATCCATCCTATACAGTTCTGTGTTCCGGTGCAACCATGATATGAAATTCTGCCTGTAGGCTTGATTTTACATATTTCAAGTATGCTCTTAGGACATTCCTCATGATTTCCAAACAATATTTATGAACTTGAAATGCTTCTGTTTCTCTCCCCTTCCCAAACTCCACCCATCACTCCACCCATCAAAGAGCAGAACTTAACAGAAAATCAAATTGCTGACTCTAGTTTTTTTTTTATCCCTGGCCCTTAAATCGCTAGAGTTGCATATTTTCTATCCCGTTAAAGGACTGAGAGTTTAATTATGGAAGGTTGGACTAATTACCATCTTCTGCAGTTGGGAGTGGAATTGTCAGCAGCAATCTTAACTTATTCAACAATCTTAATATTCCAGAAGCTTTTTGTAGCAGTTATTGGCGAGCCAGAAAAAAAAGAAGCCTGACAATAAGCAACACTTTATTTATTTGTTTCTTTGCATTTGTCTTCCCTCCAGCCTCAAATTCATGATTCTGGGCGCATTTTAAAAATTTCACCGCTTTCCTATTTTGCAATGTTACACTAGGTTGATGGGCTGCCTTAAGCCGTGATGTGGTTTGTTTTAGGCATCACAGGTGATATGAACCTGGGTAAGGTGTCCTTTGCCGGTGGTGCTCTACAATACATTTTTGACCCATGGGGAGTTTTTGTGGGTGGATTCAATTGTAGGTTGCACTGAAAAGAGGAGGGGCTCCCTTATAGTCTGTTTTTTGAGAGTTGCAGCTGGGGTTTGTCATCGAAACAGGCATTGCCTTAATTCTTGTTATCGCCCCTGTTACATTCCTTAGGTTTTCTAAATTTTTAGTAGTCAGAGCAAAAAATAATCCAGTTTTTAGCTCCTTAATAAACTGAGTTAGAGTTTCGCAGCCTCAGTGAAGAAACTGTAACTGTGAAGAAACTTAACTGTGGCCCAATTAAAACATATTAGTCTACAGAGGCGTCTGCGAGATCAAAGGCTTTTGTCAAAACGCTAAAGGTTGCAAATTCCACCTCTCTCATGGTTGTGTTATGATGTTGCCACATCGGGTTTTGTCACCCTCCCCCACCCCATGTGTACAGGAGCCAGCTCAGCTTTTAACCTGCTATTCAGTCTAGATCACAAATTTTAATCTATCACTAAAGCCTTAAATATTAATTATTTCTACAGGGACCTTCTCATTCCTTCCTCTTATTTCAGTTTATCATTGCTCGTTTTTTATTAGACTACCATTGCGGCATTGTTTTCTGTTTCTATTACGTGAACTTATCAAACTAAAAGCTGTAAAAATAAGGCAAGTGAACAAACTGTTTTATGTCTGTTTCTTTTTCACACCCGGTAGGAACCGGACTAAGCCAGGCATCTCCAAATTTGGCAATTAAAAGACTTCTGGATTCACCTTTCAGAATTCCTCAAGCAGCCATGTTGGCTGGAGAATTCTGGGAGTTGAAGTTCAGGAAGTGACTTTTATATGTTATCTTGCTCCAGGTGTAGTAATAGATAAATAGTAATAGTAGTAAAGTTGGAAGGGACCTTGGAGGTCATCTAGTCCAACCCCCTGCTCAGGCAGGAAACCCTACACCATTTCGGACAAATGGCTGTCCAGTCTCTTCTTAAAAACTTCCCGTGTTGGAGCATTTACTGCTTCTGGAGGCAGGCTGTTCCACTGATTAATTGTTCTCACTGTCAGGAAGTTTCTCCTTAGTTCTAAGTTGCTTCTCTCCTTGATGAGTTTCCACCCGTTGCTTCTTGTCCTGCCTTCAGGTGCTTTGGAGAATAGCTTGACTCCCTCTTCTTTGGGGCAACCCCTGAGACATTGGAACTCTGCTATACTATCCCCCCTCATCCTTCTCTTTGTTAAACTGGACATCCCCAATTCCAGCAACCGTTCCTTATATGTTTTAGCCTCCAGTCCCCTGATCATCTTTGTTGCTCTTCTCTGCACTCTTTCTAGAGTCTCAACATCTTTTTTACATTGTGGTGACCAATTGCTAACTGTTTCAGATAAACTCTGACTGTTAGAAAGGTTTCCTGATTTGGTTCCCACTTTGAAAAAAAGCAAGACAGAATTCTGTTTCAATTTAGATCCAGCCAGAACATTTTGTAGTACCTTAAAGATGAACCC